TTAAATACATTAAGAGTTCGGTTATTTTTGCAATCTAGGTCAACGGTAACAACCGAAGTGTGTGACATTAGGATGACCAAAGCCAGTCGGACATTCGAACTTATTTTAAGAAAATGCGGACTGAAGCTGAAGCGTTACTATAAAGTCGTACTTGCAGCAGCGGTGATACTTTTGCTTCTTGGGTATACTCAAATAAATGACACAGGTAAGGTATTGCATATTACAAATGTATTCAAACCTGTTCAAATTGTAAAAATAAAAACAATATAAATACATGTATGATGTATTTTAGAGGTTGTATTTCTTTGGATGCAAACAAGCATATGGTACTGCTTCATTTTGTTACTAGTGTGTCCTAAACATGCGTCTCTTTAACCTTTGTTTTAATCGTTGAACCATTTAACGTGCCTTTTTCTTCTGCTTTTTATAAACCATTGAGTACTTTTGTTATGATCATGAGGTTTTTTAAATATTTATTGACATTATTTATGTGTAAATTCATATGAAATTCTGTATCTATAACAAGTGTTACAATTGCACATGACGGGGAATCAGCTTACACTACCTCGTAATAAGGAACACGAGAGAATAAATAAGATTGAGGTTTGGTGTATCAATTAACCGTTTTAAAATGCAAAGAAATGTTTTACATATTGACCTTTAAAAGACATTACACTATCGTACCCTGTTTGTTCTTTATGTTTTGACTAAATTAATGTGTTTTGTCTTGGCATTACTAGTTGTATTCATCTTCTCCGTATTTTCTCCGCTTAACTGTTTGCCATCCAGCCTTCCCAATTTTCCGACATAAATTTCTTTTACATATGCCTTAACTTAAACTCATTTCAATTATTTATTGCCCTTCCCCTTGTCTGTCCTCCCTTTCCCCTTACATTTTTGGTTGTCATAGGTATTGGATATTGTTGAGCTGCATTTCATTAATATTGCTCTTTTTTGTTCATCTTTATTTTTATATTTTGCCTTATTTCTCCTAGATTACAATATCTTACTTTATTAGTTCAGCTTGACGATGTACAGGGTATGATTCTCAACAGACACACAATCAGGACAGACATTGGTGAATCAAGCTATTGGTCGACATATCTGAATACCACAGAGGCGTCACATGTTAGTTTGTACCTAAAATTGAATTTTAAATCAAGTTATTAAAAGCTTTATCCAATCTGCTTCATAACTTATCAATTAATATATTTATCGACACCCTGATGGGCTCAAACCATTGGCAATTATTTTAATTAAGACAAATATATTAATTTGCAATATTTTGAAATGCCAATCTCTCCCGAAGACTTGGAAAAAAACAAAGTATTGCTGAAATAGATATTTTATTCATATCAAACATTAGTGTAAATTGTTTATTTTATATCAATTAAGCGAAATACAATCAAATATAGTGTTGAATATATATTGAATAGTTTTTAATATAATACTATATAGCCACAATGAATTATATATATTTATTTATATTGATATTTATTCATATATAATGAATAAACTCAAGCTTATTCAAAGTATGTCTTTGATGAACCGATACAAATGTCAAATGATTATACGGTCGGAACAATCAAAATTGATATCAAACCGTTAAGCCTATTCAAAACATAACAATTAATTGTGGCAGGTTCAACCGATGTTTTTTTATATCAATCAACTCTACAGAAATAAGCCATCAATTGATATGTAATAGTTACCGTACGAGGAATAGGTCTGCATAGTATTTACAGACCCGGGTGGCGATTTGATGACCGAGAGAGCGTAGCGTTGGGCTTTCTTTAGGGATTCTGTATTTATCTATTTTAATAGGCAATCCGGTCTGTAAATACTATGCAGACCTTTTCCGAGTGCGGTAACTATCTTACCTACATGCTCTTTTGTTTTTCTATCCATGCATCAGTTTTTAGCTCAGTATTCATTAATATTACTCACAAGAACATATTATTAATGTACTTTATCATGTTTAAGAACGCATTCCAGAGCAGTGCAAAGATACCATCCGCTACGCTCTTGTAATTCATTCGTCCACTAATCAAGTGTTAATTTGAATTTTCTCGTGTTTTTTGTGGGGTTTCATTTTGTAATAAGGTCAGGTAATGTACTTGTTGATAATGAAAGCAAAGGTAAGATCATTATTTTGAATACATAACATATTAATAATATATACAAATATTGAGGAAGATAAAAAGTTTTCTAATCATAAAAACGGAATACTTTATCTTTATATATAATAAATTTCATGGTAAATAGATGATCAGGCTATTTCTAATATAATTAAAATATACATGTTTTTCAAAGGAAAGTAGTAGACAGGGTTCTATGAATAAATATTAGTAATACATGTAGTTATACCGTCATGTAAGTTGGGTTTTTTGTTGTTGTTTTTTTATGATGGCTGATTTTAAATGTTTTTAGAATTTCATCCATGTTTGGAAGAATTTTCTTTCGGTGTATTCTTAATTAGAATCATCCTTTTTCATATGTTTGATAAGACCGCGTGTAAGCACGCGGTTTATAAAATGGAAGCGCAAGTCGTATTCTTGCGAAGAACAGGCGAGTACTAGTATACAAAATCCAAATTAAAATGTAAAAAAACTGGGAAAAAATGAGAAAAATAAAACTTAAAATCTTATACTTTAAATGAACTATACTCTCACTGAAAGTAATATTTTTGGAAAGAAAGATGCTTAAGTTGACTTTGATTCAAAATGCACCAATAATATAATCGTCGTATATATTACATAATGCAGAATTGTTAAAATAATGCAGGATTGTGCAAAATCAGACATAGTTGTGGAAATAAATGCCGAAAACTAGTATCTTATGAAGTAATATAGTTCGTCATATGTGTTAGGTATACCGAAAAGCAAACTATAAAAGAAAGGCTAAATGTGTGTTATTGTACTCAATAATATCGGCGAAACACAAACTTCAACGCAAGAACAGTAGCCAGTTCGTTTTTCTTACAAATAATCTGGAATATATGTTATGAGGGTCCGTACAGTCGTATGCGCTAATTCATTTCTATTATTTTGATGAAATGTACTTTGAAATATGTATATCGACCCTTTTTCCTATTTATAGTGGTCTTTACCCCCCCCCCCCCCCCCCATATAAATTTGCACAATTCAGCGTTATTTTTCAAAATTTCTGCGCTCACGCTGACTATTGTGTAATGCACGAGTTTCTCGACTTCACATTTTTTTCTATTGTATAGAGAATAATAAAAACAACAGGTCGGAATATATTTGCAGACCTGTTAAGCGGTCGGTAAGTGATTTACTAGACCGCTTTTAACAAAAGAGCCGGTAGGTAATTGATCATTTTACAATGTCCGCATTCTTCCGCCCCCCCCCCCCCCTCCAATTCGCTTTCATCGTGAAATCGAGTTTATTTTTCCTTCAAGACCATTTTTATTGTGCAAAATGACCCCAAAATGAAATGAAATGTAAACCTAAAAGAATCTTCTTTAAGAAAAAAGAACATTTTTCTTCTTTAGAAAAGCAAGGATGAGTTTATCATGTTTAAATGATACTTTTAGAGAATATCAACAGAAGAAAGTAGCGCTGATGTTGAATAATTTGTTATTACAAAGGTAGAAAATTGGGGTAGAAGTTTGACTTCAATACAAAATACTAAATCACTTTCACTGTACATATTGCCAAAAACTACATGTATTAGAAGTAAAAGATGATTCAGGTAAATAACCAATGATTATAAATGTACATCAAAAATAAAATATAGATAGTATTTTACTTTTTGAAAAATGAATCTTAAAGTAAATCTGGGACTTGATTTAGATTAGTTTTATAATAAACACTGACTTGAATTCATTTAAACTACATGTGAAGTTTCACTTCTGTTATAGGCATATAAAGCTGTATACTCGAGTTTAGTGCTTTCTCAAAAAGTAATGTCCATTATGATTTTTCATATATTGTTAATGCGAACTTCATAGAAGGTTTAACTGCTAAAGGAAGTTGAGCAGGTTATGGTTCAGTGATTCATCTGTATGATTCTCTATCTATTTATACTGCAACATATTCTCTCCTCTTTATAAGTATGATATGCAGCTGCAGGCCTGTACAATGAATGATTGAAATGTATAAGGGTCCCTACTTAACCTGTCAGATTTATTTTCATTGTCTGAACTATTTCCACGAAGTTTGTTCAAAGTTGAATTCATAAAAATGGCAAAGGAAGTTTCCCTACCAGGGACAGATTCGTTCAGGCAGTTTAAGGGATTTTGCTGAAAGTATTGAAAGTAAAATTCATAATGATAGTATATTTATTAATGCCTTTTTATGATTTCAGAGTGAGGAAAATATTCAATGAACGCATCAAAGTACAGATCATAATTGTATGATATTTTTTTCATATATTAAAGTTTCGCAGTCCTGTATCTGCATTAAGCGGTATTTTTCAACGAAACCTCTCCAAAGTCAATTTTAGGTATGTCTTGGGAACATTTTACTTATGTTCATACCGTCGTAACGCAAATGTGCACTGAATGTTAGCGTTACACTATATACGTGCGTCAGTGAATAAAGGATTGTTTTTAACTGAAAAATATGGATGTGATCAATAGAATATTTATTCCTGCAGGTTCATAACTAAATTTATAAAACTCGTTCACTCAAATAATAATATAATGTTCGGCAGCGGCTCGCATAGAATAAAATTTTATTCAACTCGTTCAATAAATTTAGTATTGAAACTACACTTATTAAATATCCTCTATTTATTTTTCGAATACGCTGGTCAGTTTGTTATCTTTGGTTGTTCAGAGAGTAATATCCGGTAACATGTGCATTGGTTTGTCAAAAGACGCTGAATTCTATAGCAGTATATATTTGAACGTCATTTAATTTTTCTTTGATAATATTTCTCATTTCTTAACAGAATATCACACTCCTGTAGCACCAACCAAGAAATCTGTTAGCTATTTAAAACAACGTTTGGTTGTTGAACAAGCTGTTTCGGAAATGTCTAATACATTGTATTCCTATTACATTCTCTTGCAGAAATCAGCAATCAGTAATAAAAGGCTGTTTGGTAAAACAACTACATACCCTACAGATGGATATAAAAGAGCAGAATTACTTCGGGAAAAATGCTCTTCCTCTGTTAGAAATCTGCATGCGAGAGTTCGAGTATCTTATAATAAAGCACATAACATTCTTTATTGTCCCCTTTGTAAAATAGCATCAACATTCTGGACTCGTGCTTTTAAAACGTTTGAATATGAAAAGAGAGCATTAGCTAAGAAGCATCCTTACGAAATAAAGATTTCAGATGCTCCAAGAAGTGATTTGTACTTTGACACATCTAGCGAATACATCAAAAGATCACACGGCAGTAGAAGTAAAATAAACGCTAAAGGTTCGTTTAAATTCTTATTTGTTAGAAATCCATTCAGAAAATTGTTTTCAGCATTTGTTGACAAAATTGTTGGACCCAATCCAATATTTTGGAAAGTATTTAAAACGAAACCTGAATATTACGATGTAGTTAACACATTGTGTGGTGCTGACCTCAAGTTTGGACAATTTCTAAAAAATATTGTTCAGACAGTTCAGTTAAACAATACACTAGACTGCCATGTGAAGACATTTAATGCATGTGAACCTTGTGCAATGAACTATACATTTGTTGGGAAAATGGAGACTTTTAAAGAGGATACATTTCATATTTTGTCTAAATGCAACCAAAATGAAACATTTGAAAAATTGGCCATTTTTGAAAAGCAGTTTAGTTCATTACATGCAGATGATGCAATCGACGATTCAATAACTAGTCCATTTAGTTGGACGGATGAAATACGAAAATGTATTCCATGGGCCGAGGCTTTGCAAAGAATATGGAGAAAACTACAGATAAGAGGGGTGATTGGTATGCAAGCATTTCCTCTAAGTGACAGAGAAGCTGAGAGAATTAATGAAACAAAGTTTATCGAACTTGTTAAGAAGACAAGGCTTAGAACGACGTCTAAAGAAAGGCAATGGCAAAAGGAATACGCTTTCATGGAAGCATATCAAACTGTTCCCTCTAATGTTATCAATGACATCAGAAAAATATATTCTCGTGATTTTAAGTTATTTGATTACGATGATATACCAAATAACTTGTTTAAGACTGATGCGTCGATTTTAGATTTTAAGTTTTTAGATTATTCTAATGTAAAGGAAAACTATTATCCTAATATAAAGAAATCCCTTCTTTAGTTTTCATTGATATGAAAAGCTGTTACAATATGACCATGTTATGTAACAGATATTTTTTCAAATATTTTTTTTCTTTGATATGGGAACAAATAAAATACTGATATGTAGTCTTAGGGAATGAATAAAGTATTTTCTTTTCAAAAATAATTCAAACTTTTTAAAGACAGGGTTTTTAATTATGTTTAGTTTTTTATGTTATCTTCTTTGTAATCGTGTTTAACCAGGTCTCTTGCCTCTACACCCTTTGGGCGATGGTCAAACATCCGACGACGCCAATTACGACGTCATAAGTCAACCCTTTCAACACCAGGTCACGTGGCACTGCATAATTACTATGACATACATGGAATACATAGAATACCTGTACCATGTAACATGGCCTTATTAATAGGGACGAAGTTTATTGCAATATGATGTTCATATTTTAACGGACAATAGGCGTGACTAACACAGTAAAGTCTATTTTTGCATATTTTGACCTCTTTATTGGTATTAACACGGGTTGTAAGTGCCTATATGCTTTTCCTTAGCTGCACAGCAAAATCAATCTAATATAATCAAAATAATGGCGGATACATCTACGTGTGTTATTTCATGTTAACTACTATGTGTATGTAATATGTTCCTTTGTAGATATTTATTATTTCTACTGCAGTTTCGTTTCTTTAAAATCCAAATTATTCTCAAAATAATTATATTTCTATTACAACCATAGTAGCAAGATATTTTACAGATTGTTTCGAAAATTATAAAATTATGTAGCGTGGACTTATTTTTTCCGCTGGCATGTACATGATATAATATGTAACCATTTTACATGAATCTGTGACACATTCTTGACTCTTTATGTATTTTTAATGCCTTTCATGACAAGTTGAGTTGAATAAGATATTTATTTCAAAAGATTGACTATTTTCACGGTGATTGACCCATAATTAATAAATAGAAATGTAAAGGATTGCCTAATATATAAGATTGCCCCGCCATTTTTTATCTATTGAGAATACTAGTAACATGTCCATTCTGAAGGACATCTATATAATTTCCGTTGTGCTGCATGACATACTGGATATTCATTAAAAGTAAAATATGAAATTGAAAACATATATGACAAATTGTAACTTTTACATATATTCCCAACATTTACACTTGACTGGACATAATAACACTTGGAATTGTGACGGAAATGAGTTCGCCGTTTGCATCCAAAAAAATACAATTCATTCGTAAATTTAATTAGATAAGAAGAGTAGGCATTTTAGTTTTTATAGTCAAATAGATATAAGTCAACAGAATCATCCAAAGTGTTTATATTTTGAATTGCTTGTTTACTCACAATTTGTAAGGAAATTTACTTCAAAAATACTTTATTGCTTAAGTAAAACCTCTTGGACAAATGAAAAATTTATATTTGAATATTTCAAATCATTCCGGATAAGTATCCAAAGAAAAATTATATATTTGCATTTAAGAATATTGTAATTTTTTTGTAGCACAAGATTAATAATCAACGGCTCGGTACACGCTACAGAATAACCAGTGTTTTTCTTTGCTGTAATTAAACGTACAATATTCGATATGTAAATAATGGATAAATTGTTTTACTAAAAACGTGTCAGACACGATTAAAACGTTTATTCTTTAGAAAGAGGAAACATGATTTTTATAGTGTTAAGATAGCGGTTTTAGACATGATAGATGCTTATGTGACGGAAATGTACTTTATAGTTAATTTGATTGCCTCCCCTTTTTATACGTTCGCCGTTTGCATCCAAAACAAAAAAATACAGTTCATTCGTAAATTTAATTAGATAGCAAGAGTAGAAATTTTAGTTGTTTTTACCGTCAAATAAATATAAGTTAGGAGAATTATCCAAAGTGTATATATTTTGAATTGTTTCTTTACTCACAATAATTTGTATGGTAATTTACTTCAAATGACAGACGCTTATAAGGGTTAGTTAAAATCAGTTTCAAGAAACGTTTTATTAGTTTAGCCAATCAAAATTTTTAATTTTATTCACTGCGGGGATGATGCTTCGCCAGCATATAAATAGAGCGTGTTTAGTGTGAAAATTCAGTCTGGTCCTGTCCGTTGGAGAGTGGAAACGAAGTCATAAATACTAACTGGTACGCAAAAATCTCAGATTTCTGGTACTAAGGTCGTTTTATGATTTCTGTAAAATTCCTTGGGCATAATTGTTTAAAGAAATAGATATTTTAATTAAGTTTTAGTTTTGGCTCCGGACCGTTAAGATCGAAGTTGTAATTATATTTACTAGTAGCCAGGCATCTTAGATACTGGTGCTAAAAATACCTTATTGCCTAAGTAAAACCTCTTGGACAAATGTTTGATAGAGTATAGTTTATTTTGAAGATAGTATTTAAAGAATTGGTTTTTGAACGTTTGGTTAATTTGAGATAAGGGATTTTTATATTGAAATATTTAAGTGAGAAACAAATTTGTGTTAGATTTAGGAATATAAATTTTAGTTTGTTTGAAAGTAAGTGTAAATAGAGTTTAATTGCTTCTTGAAATATATATTTTGGATAATTTAAGAATTAGTTGAAGATTGTTATTTTTGCATTTTATTATTTCTAGAGTTTTTATTAAGTTGATATCTAATCAAAAGGTTAAGAAACCACAAGGAAAATTTATATTTGAATATTTCAAATCATTTCGGATAAGTATCCCAAGAAAAGTTACATGCATTTGCATTTAAGAATGTCAAGATTATTTGAGAATATTGTGATTTTATTTTGTAGCAAATAGATTAAATAACCAACAGCTCGGTACACGCTACACTTAGATCTCAACTACCCGAGGAACATACCGCTGCATCTGAAATCATTTGTCATAAAAGTAGCAAATTTGTCATAAAAGTAACACATTTGTCACAACAGTAGTAAAGTTTTTATAAAGTGGTATTTTGTCTTCCATACAAATATAATATATAATTAATCACTGGCACTATATTAATTGCACCAAAATATAGTTCGGGAAATAGGTCACTGAGTACACTTAGGTAGTTTTAAAACTTAGTGATGGATTACTGCACCACCTTTTACGTGGTTTGTCCAATTATTCTATAATATAAAAATATCGTAATAGTGTTTTCAAATATATATACATATGTAAAGTGATATGTATTATATTGTATTATTAATTCAATGCTACACTTCAACTTAACATGCATAGTTTCATTCATTTTAAGATTTACGTTTGTTCCAGACTCCGAATGTCGGTGCTGGTTTTATTTATCAGAGACCGATTTACTAGGTTTTGATAATTGTTTTTATTTCAAAAAATCATGACAACTGTCCAGCGCAATGTTAGTAAGGTGCGCTCTGGTCCGTGCCAGAACAAAGCGTTCCCTAGCAATTAATGATACCCATATTTAGAAAATTAAATGTTACTTTATTTTCTTATAGGGCGCTTCCTGCATTTTGATTGGTCAAATCTGTCCCTAGAAATAATAATTTTATGCAAATGCAAGATTTGCCGCCAATCAAAGGCGCAATTGAAGTTTAGATTTTGGAATATAAAGTAAGAATCTTGTGTGTTTCAATTTACTTAGTTTCGAACACAGATACAATTGTTCAATACGTTTATTTTTGTTTTATTTTCCCGTGTTCGGAAAAATTATTGTTTATATAATTTTGTTCTAAAATAACTACATTTATTATTGTAAAGGTAAATGCAATTACAATTTTATGATAAGATAAATAAAACTGTATCATAGTTAAGGTTTTGCTGTAAAAATTGATAATCTGTAATTCTATCAATTAATAAATTTGTTAAAATTACTCACAGTAATTGTTATGGTTGAATTCTTTTGTATTTTTTAATTTGTAAGTATGTATGAATTGTTTGTATGTTGTTTGTATTTATGCAATTTTTGAAAGTATTAATGAATAACTCTCAGATAACCGCTATACGCTATATACGCTATTCGCTGTATGCTATGGGCTGTATGATGAAACACCGCGAAAATTCTGTAGTAACATGTAGCTCTACAGTCTCATGTAAGCGGAGGGCAGAACTGCAGTCAAAAGAAAAGCAAGCAGCAAAACGAAGAAGCGAGGAGGTTCGTCGGGAGCTTGAACTACAGTCGGCCCGGTACGAACTAGAACTGGCTAAGCTTGAGGAAGAGAAATTAATTTTCAACGAAAGATACGCGTCACGTTACCGTACGCCCTAGCAACTGACGTCCTAGTAGAAAATTACGTAATGGACTTACCTAGAAATATTAATACATGTAGTGAGAACTTTTGTAATCATGTTATATCTTCACAAGTTGATTCTCAGAACATTTATGGTTAACCTAAACATGAACTAATTTAATGGGAATCTTGATGCTTATTGTAAATTTCTCAGCAACTCCGAAATGAATATTGAGGCTAGGGTTAAGTGATAATAGATTAAGATTAAATTATTTATTTAGCCAAATATTGTATTGAAGAATGTGTAATTTACAGGTCTCATGTAGGCAATTTGGTAAATGGCAGTGCCAAAAAGAGTAATGACGTAAAGGGTCTAATGAACCTGTCACTCCATATGGAGAAATGTCACATAACTCTAACTCAGCTAGGTTTCGTATCCGATGTACAAATACAGAAAATCTGCGAACAATAGTGAGGAGACTAACACTTCACATTCGGATCCAGTTGTTCGAACATGCAAGTAGCCTGATAGAGCAGGGGCTCGAACTAAGTTTCAGTAGTCTTCTAACCTTTGTAAAGGAACGGTCAATTGTAACAAATACAATGTATGGTTATAATCTTACGAATAAGTCCAATAAACAAACGGTGAATTCGCATCGAAATTCTCAACTAAAACCTTCACAGCTTGTGTTGTCCACTGGCTCTGATAAGAGAAACTCAGGTAAACTGTAAGATGGCCCATCAATTAAGGGAATGAGCAGACTTTCGGTCAATTGATATTGATTCAAAGCCGAGGGTTATCAGAGAGCATGAAATGTGTGAAAACTGTATTTCAAACATGATGCCTAAAATTGTAGAGCTAATAGTTTTGTGGGGTTTCATGTTGTACCGGGAAACATAATACAATGTTTCAACCGAAATTCTGGCAAAAACCAACAATTTAAAAGGGTTGAGGATAAACATGTTGCCGCTTCCGAATCGTGGTGTAAACAGGTAAGTTTGTGCATAGTTCCTGTCGTCGTAGGAACAAAAACTATGCAAGTAGAAACTTATGCTCTCCTTGATGAAGGGAGTGATGTAACACTTTGTAGCGATAGCCTTGTAAAAAGGCTTAGGATTGAAAGTAAACCTTGTAAGTTCACGTTAACTTCAGTGAACAAATCTGGTCAAAATATGAATGGCAAAGAAGTACAACTACAGGTAAGTGTATTAAATAGGGGTCAGGTTATTGATCTTCAAAGAGTAAGGTCTGTAAAACCCCTGCCTATATCCTTGCAGTCGTTGCCAGACCGGTCTGTGACAGGTCAGTGGAAACACCTTAATGGTATCAATTTACCGAAAATTGGTGTAAACTAAGTTGAGTTGCTTATGGGAAGCGACATCCCAGATGTATTCTAGGTACAGGAATAGTGAAGGGGGAATAGAGGTGAGCCTTTTGCAATCAAGTCGATATAAGGCTGAAGTATTATCGGACCTACATATAATGAATCATCAAATGATCAGGGTAGTATCAATTTTCAGTTTGCATCTAGTACACAGTTGCAAATCGATAAATTATAAGCAATCGGCTTCCCAGATGGCAAGAGCTGTGGCACAGGGATGTCACAGGAAGATCGTCGTGAACTTTCCGTAATGAAAGGTACAGCAATAAAAGAAAACGGTCATTACAAATTGGGAATCCGTGGAGAAACCCAGACGTAAGCCTTCAAAATAAAGTTAAGATGGCTACGGTAAGACTTTCTTATTTAAAGCGAGATAATAAAGCTGTATAAAATAAAGGGAAATGGGTGTATTGAAATGGACTATGCTTCCTTATAAGATACCAGAACGGGATTCGAACCCGGCCATATTTGGTATCTACCTCATCATCCAGTTGTTAACCCAAAGAAGCCGGGTAAGAAAAGGATTGTCTTTGACTGTGCTCCTAAGTATCAAGGCACATCACTGAATGACAATCTGATACAAGGTCCTGACCTTACCTACTGTAATTCTGGCGTACTTGGTGTAGTTGCTGTAAAACTGTACCAGGTTGTCATGGAGGAGCTTGACATCGAGGTTACTGAAAAGTACTTTTGACGGACTCTATGATTGTTTTGGGGTACATAAGAAATAAAACGAAAGGTTCAAAACTTTCGTTGCAAATAGACTATCAATAGTTCAAGAGGTGACGTCACCACATGACTGGAAGTATGTACCCTCAAAGAGTAACACTTAGTAAGTATTCTGTAAAAAAGCATTTATTTTGGTTATTTGATGCAGAAAACATATTGCAGCAAGAAACACACATATTGTACTTTTCTTAGAGTGATGATCATCCATACTTGTAAGTTACATTTGAAAGAAAAGCATTCATGCGTAGTAGTATGCTATCTCATATTAAGATTGAACAGTTATGCAACTTGGCACACCTATACTCTGTAATAAAAAGTTTTATTATATGATTGAGTATAAAAATCTAAATAAAACTAAAATAGTGAAACAGATAAGAGAAGCTTTCGTTTAAATACCACTTTGATTTTTGAGAAATACATATTTTAGTTCGCGTAGATTTATTCTGTTTCCCAGAACATTCAAGAACTTTCCCACAACATTAGAATTTCGCACACACGAGAAGATAAAACATTACAGTTAAAACTATCTTTAATTGATTAATACAAAAATGTAAATAACAATATTCAAAACATAATAAATGAAATCTTTTCTAGTAACTGATCTGTTCCTTTATTTGGTTAAATAATAGCATTTGTATGTTTTTGTTAAAAAAAGTGTCATCCAAATCTTGAAAGTTGTATATATTTTATATAACATTCAATCCATCGTTTGTCGTCCACTTTCAACCGACATTAAATTGGAGCCACCACCACCATGCGGGCCTTGCTTTTTTCTTCTCATCTTGAAAGATACTTGACCAATGCTTCAAAGTTCTTGTATAACGATTCAACATAGAAGAGATTCTTCCGCTCGTTATAGGCCGCAAGATTACATAGGCAGTCATTTCGTCTTTGCCACGAGCTCTGTGAAACCACCAATCATAAGTCCGTACACGTCCGGCTACCTTACGAAGGGCATTCCTCCGGGACAAGCTTGCAATGTTTTGCTGGCGATTGTTAGATTGGCCATCGGTGAATATCCCAACACTTCAGGCTTTCACTTTCGGATGGAAATTCTGTAACCTTAAAAACAAATGCAATTCATTGCAACCCTCCCATTTTTGAAGTTTTTCGTTGACAATATTTTTATTACGGTATAATTTTTTAAATTTCCTTATCTTTTAATTTAAAACCAAAAGTATCATTTCTGCTTAATTTGAAGCAATTAGTTATGAAGTGGGAGAAATCTCAAAGTAGGAATAAATGTATGAAAAAGGTACGCCTTAATCTGAATACAACGAATATATGATGAATCTTATTTAAAAAAACAAGTCTTAAAAAAAACAATCACATGTTGATTATGAATACTCACCTTTAGAAGATTTGAACATCCCAATAGCTTGTATGAAGGCTTCTGCAGTATTTGTTCCACCACCATAATACATAGCTTTTGAAATCGCCCCTTGAATATCCTCGGTGGTTGCATGGTCATCAAAGTCGAAATGTTGATGAACAGTTGTGGAAAATGTGAGCATAGCGGCTTGATTGTACTGATACTGTCCATTCACTTTTTCAAACGGATTTTCTGGGCAAAGCAAACCTATCAATGTGCTTATCTCCTTGTTTGCCTTCCGAAAATTACTCCACCCTATACTACCAGAGCTGTCCATGATGAGTAGAAGGTCCCGGACATTTCCTTGATTCGTCTGTCGTCGCACAAGTAGCCTTCTTTCACCAGGGTTTATGTTAGGGTTATATTTTGGTCGTATAAAATATTGTTCAACATTTTTTGCAGTCTCAATAACTGTAGGTGTTATATCTAAAGGAACATAGAATAGTTCTTCTTATTAACAATTACAGTCACTACAAGGGAATGGATCAATTATTGATATTGATAGATGTTAGTTAAATAAACACATTTCACGTTAGTAAGTGGAATGTGAAAAGGTGATCTTGTTAAATAACAAATGTAGTAGACGGAAACAGCATTCTATTTTCCTGAAACAAACAATAGTTTAATTTTACATTCACAAAGATCCTTCTTTGATTTTGTTTTGATTTTCTATGTAAATAAATGCCGTTTAAATTAATATAATTAATATAACTTGTCTCCCTCGCATCTTACCTATGTATCTGTTTTCGACAAGGTCAGGACACTGTTTTCCTGTTCCGATGGGATTTTGTGTTACATTTCTTTGTTCTAAGCTGTTTGTCCAAATCCAAAATTTCCTCCCCATTCAGACCATTCTGAAAAACTTTGCAGTCGGCTTTTATTTCTGTTGAAAATGTGTAAAAAAAGATATTATGCAAAGTTTGTCTTTGAAAAATAAAACATGATGTTTGTATTTAATGAAAGATAAAAGCAATTTAGAAAACAAATCTATGGTAAAACAACACAAAAACCACTTTATAGAGCACACCGATTGTCTCGTAAAATATTGTTTGAAACAATATATTATTTGAATAAAAACGTTTTTCTTAAAGATTTAAAAAGATTAAACAGTTTAACCTCTTGTTTCACAAAGTGGTGGCACAATGAAACACCTCCAGGTGGAAAGCCATATTATTTTTCTTGATCTTGTTCCGTTAGTCCCAAAGACCCACTTGCCCATTGTAACATGAAGTCATTCTAACAGGGGATAAATTTAAACCAATCCAACATTTAACAAAAGGATAACAGCTTTATATCCAAATAAACTCATTGTTAAGTCTCAAAAGTTGTTTTCTAACAGAAAAGGCTTTTTATTTAATATTTCAAAAACTTGTTCCACGAATATTTAAAGCTGATAATTGATGACAAACCAATAGAATTTAAATACATGTGTACGTGTGTATGCCATTTAAGAAAGTTTCATGATTTTATAAACAGGAAAAAAATGTTTGCGTTACATTAGCTCTGACTAAAGGTTAAATAAAAAAAAAACTAACAAGAATCCACAGATTTTATCGTGTACAGGTTGCAAATGAAATATCAAAACATCCTTGTTTTTCATAAGTTTTGTCACGTAGTTTTCTTTTAAACGTACATGCAAGTTTAACCTTCCTTTAGATAGCATTACAAGTACTTTGTTTCACTCTGAATATAGATTTACAGAATTTCAGATGTAATCGTTTAATGTCCTTTGATTTTGAAAATACGTTGAGTTCAAAACGGTGCATACATTTCACAGGTACACGATGTGACTGCAAGAGACATGGGATGCCAGTTGTAGACACGCTATAACTTACAGCCATAATAATTGTAGCATTGTAAATAAAACAAGATAGAAATAAGATTTTAATCAAGCAGAGTAATTACACTATAAGTGATATGAGTATGTTCATCTCGAGTTATTACATTATTAACGGCATCTTTATTTGTCAAAAGGGGTGTGTGATTCATTAAAAACACTTGCTTGGATTTCACTATCGCGTTCATAAAAGACGAACACGATTGAAGTTTCACATAATCTCACTTTGATCTTAATAATGAAATATATTCAAAAGTTTTAATAATGGCTGTTCGAGAGTGTAAGGGCAGGATAATTACTTTCGTTTGTCTTTTCTTTATGTCAATTCTTAGGAAAGGGCAGAATTACTCATCCTTTTCTGAGTTAACATGGCGATCATTAAGGTGCCACACAAAAAATGTGAACTGCTTCGGTATATTTCAATATTCAGTACACATTTTTTCCCCAGAAAAATGTTCACGAAAAATGTTCAGAAAGAAAACGATATCAATTTTTTTTTTTAAACGAAACGATTTTCGAAATCTTATAGATGAAGTAATGATGTGTTCGACGAGTTATAACACTAAGCAATACTAGCTGCAGTATCTAATTTGAAAACATGACAAAAAATCATGATAAAGTTTGCATATGATTCATAAATATGTAATAGAAATATAAATTTTAAACAGAAACATTCCGATTTTGAAATGGTACAGTGCAAAATTTTTTAAAAAACTGGAAAAAAATTTGATTTTTTTTGTTCACATACCTTAATTTATATGTTGCTATTTTACTTCCCCAAGTACAAATCTTTTAACAATACAATTTACTTTAAAAGGAAAAAAATAAACAAATATAATTGGTTAGAAAAAAGTCAAGGCTTATTCAAACATACCAAGAGCATAAACAAAAGAACTCTTAAAATACGTGCAATGGCCAAAACAATTTGTTTTGTTCAAATACAGACATTTTTTTCTTCCATGCTATCTGTAAACATGATGTTTGTACCCCCTCGTCTCCTCAATAAGGAAGAAAAACAATTTGTTTATTTCCGCACAGTCACGTTCGATATGCCGACTTCCTTGTTATTTATGTTTATGTTTGGGCATGCTTATTGACAAAAAAAACCATAATGTTTTAAACCCGCATCTAGGAGCCGTGTCTATAATGTTGAAACAGGTATATTATAAAGAAAATAAAAAAATATATATTTAAATCATAGAAAAAAAGTAAAGGTAGAAAAGGTCGAGCGAATAAATAAACAAATACAACATTTCTTAAATAATGAAGGACCATACCGGTATTATATAATATACTTACATGCTAATATGATGAAATGAATGAATGAATGACATGAAATGAATGAATGAATGAATGAATGAATAGATAAATAAATGAATGAATGAATGAATGAATGAATGAATGAATGAAGAATGAACAATGGTCAAATTAAGACAAAAAAGACAAAATGTGAAATAGAAAAGCAGACAAGAAGTAAACGTTCAACTGTTTTGGGTGAGTAAGTGCCAAGAAGCTGTTATAGGAACCTTACGAGGACATGAAAGAGAACACGATTATTTCAGACGCTTTCATTTAACCAGTGTTTCTTATGTCACTTTACTGATGTCACAGATGAATTTCAATTCGAATGCATATACTGCAAATTGACATATAACTTACAAGACAAATGAATGTAGGTGAATTTTGAATTTTTCGCAACATAAGCAAAACTTACGAAAGTACGATACGAAGATGCGAAGACACGATGACGAAAACACAAAAACTCGACAAATTCAAGTCGATAAATACCGTCGTTTTTATTTAGTTCCGTCCATTGTTTTCTCGTTTGGGGCACACGCATTCTTTTACTTGGGGGACCATACGCCGCTTTTCATGGAATGACACTACTGTGTCACATTGAAGGTTCCATGATAACCGCCGTATGAGCACATCTGCGGATGTTTATTAAATTCAAAATTCACCATTTTAGTGTTTAAATATTGAATTCTGCTTAAGCTGGTGCTAGGGGGCGTGGACGGTAACTTGCAATTTCCATTACCGTTTATGAACAGGCTCAATAAAATTTTACAATTTTGCCGTGTTGGGCTTTCTTTAGGATTCTGTTTTTCACTATTTCATAGGGTCCCATTAGGACCATTGTGACAAACATATTTTACCTTATTATTAACCATGCGCACTGAATGACAATCTATATAAAGGTAGAAATAAAGATGTCAACGGTAGTTAGAAACAGCTAACGTTTAAGATTAGCAAAACCGAACAATGTACTAACCGTCTACTAACATCATGATCAAGACAGTGTAAGGTCATATAGCGAATTTCCAGCTTTACTGGAGGAGAAAGATCTCAGGTCCCTCCGTGCATTATTTCAGACACAGACTGGAAAAAAATGAGATTAGAACAAGCAAACTGGATAGTTTTTCTTATATGAAAGAAAACAGGAACACAAACCTACAAACGGTGAGAGGTTTGAAATCAGAAACCTTAAACCACTTAGCCTCATACGCCCTGCATCAGTTTCATACATCTAGAAAAAAACAGTAAAATAAAACTGATTACAATAAATTGTACACTTAAGGCCTGTTATCAACTAATTTTCAAAATTTTCTCCTCCGCAAGAGCTCTCTGAATCAGGGAATAACCCCAATGTTGTAGCGTATTGTGAATCAGGGAATAACCCTAATGTTGAAGCGTATTGTGAATCAGGGAATAACCCCAATGCTGTAGCGTATTGTGAATCAGGGAATAACCCCAATGCTGTAGCGTATTGTGAATCAGGGAATAACCCTAATGTTGTAGCGTATTGTGAATCAGGGAATAACCCTAATGCTGTAGCGTATTGTGAATCAGGGAATAACCCTAATGCTGTAGCGTATTGTGAATCAGGGAATAACCCTAATGCTGTAGCGTATTGTGAATCAGGGAATAACCCTAATGCTGTAGCGTTTATTGTGAATCAGGGGAATAACCCTAATGTTGTAGCGTATTGTGAATCAGGGAATAACCCCAATGCTGTAGCGTATTGTGAATCAGGGAATAACCCAATGCTGTAGCGTATTGTGAATCAGGGAATAACCCAATGCTGTAGCGTATTGTGAATCAGGGAATAAACCCCAATGTTGTAGCGTATTTGTGAATCAGGGAATAACCCCAATGTTGTAGCGTATTGTGAATCAGGGAATAACCCCAATGTTGTAGCGTATTGTGAATCAGGAATAACCCTAATGTTGTAGCGTATTGTGAATGGGGAT